GTGAAATTAATCCCAAAAAAATATCGTTAGTTAATATCCAGAGAAACCGCGGTGAATCTACACAATGACGTTAAGGGAATGTACACGTGCCACTCGCTCGTTGATTCAACCAAGTTGTAATTCCACCGTCGCTCTCGACCGCAGCAATCTGCGTATAAATTCACGCCAACAGTTGCAGCAGCAGCAGCAGCAACAAAAAAAATAGAGAAGAAACGTGAGGAGCAGGGAAATTTTATTTATTTGTTTGTTTTTGAGAGAAATTGAATTCGATTGGAAAACGAAACTCTTCTCTTGTAATCTTGATTTTGTTTCAGATTTGAGCGTTATTGATTTTCCTAACCCTAAAAAATGTGGGATAAAGCTTTGTTCTTCTGAGTGATTTGCCATTGACGGAGCGAGGGAATTCCATGGGTACTGTAGATTTCTTTTGTTCCCCTTTTTAGCGGAAAAAAAGGTTCTTTCTTCTCCTCCTTTTCTCTCCGGTCTTTTTGGAATCCAATACAGTACTAAAGGGGAGACGGTTTAGTTTTTTTCAGATTAAATGTAGGTAATGCGATTTATGATCGAACGGATATTATCGTCGATGCTCAGAATTAGTTGCGAATTAATAGATAAGGAGGTAATTAATTTCTTGGGGATGAAAGGGATTAGACCGCAGCGGCATTGATCTGTATTCTGTACTCTGATGGAATTAGTGTTGCGTTATTTTACGTAAAAGCGTTGCGTTATTTTAAGTTCAGTGGCTAGATATCAAAAGGAAAAAGATTTAGATTTGGAGAATATTGTGTTGATTTTAGTTGGTCCTTTTTTCCAATTTGCCAGCTTTGTGCCATCCTTTTTGCTGTGGCTTAGCGAAGTTTTTCAATGCGAACTATATTAAGATTATCTGGTTCAGTATTCGTGAATCATGATCGTCCTCGCTACTTATATATACATATTATATACAATCATTGTTGGGTTTTTAGTGGTATAGCTTAATGCTATTAAGCCGACCTTGCTCCGGCAACCATTCCATTGGTTACGATTTCACTCTGGCAACACCATCCCCCTATCTGGATTCATCAATTGCGAAAGATGATTATTATTTTAAATTCAATAAAAGTAGAGACAGCATAACATATCTCTGGCGTTTGGACCAACCTACTGTCAATTGGCTTTTAATTTTTAACCATATGCTACTATGTTATATAATTTCCTTTCTTTGAAATCAAATTTTGTCGAGCATTGAACATTTTAAATGCTTGTATTATTTTCCAAAATGATATTGTTGACAAATATTAACCACTAATTTTTAAGGAAGTATTAACAGGTAAGTGCCGTTAAGTTGCTTGCGGTTTGAGAATTCTAATTGTACCATCTTTGCACTCTTTGAATTTATGAGGATTTGAGGAATTGATCTTTTACTGATGGAAAATTCCGGGTCATGCTTTTGGCAGCAATTTCGTAAAAACATATATTGAAATTCCTTGAAAATTTTCCTCCTGTAAGCAATCATCACTGCCTAATAACTTGATGTAGTAGTCATCCTTGTACTAGATTTTCCTCAAATATATATTCATTTACTGAGTTTAGTTTCCTTAAGCAATCATCACTGCCTAATATCAACTTATATTGCTCATTCTAAGAGCGTCATATTTTTTTACAACAAGTGAAGCTCCTTGAGCACCGCTTGTTTTTCCTTGATAAAAATAGAAGTTTCTTTCGATGCATTTTGTTATGAAAATTCCATTGTAACAACTTGAGACCAAAAATGACATAATGTACCCTTACGTTTACAGGTGAAATCCACCAAGCTTTCAGTCTCACAGTCGGAATCAACTATGGCCAAATTGCCAATAACCTTCCTTCACCTACCCAAGTTGTCCATCTTCTCCAATCTCTTAACATTAACAGAGTGAAGCTCTACGATGCAGACCCAAATGTCCTTACTGCCTTTCTCAACACCAACGTCGAGTTCATTATTGGAATTGGCAATGAGTATGTTGCATCCATGACAAATCCCTCAAATGCTCAAGCCTGGCTCCAACAGCACGTCCAGCCTTACATTCACAACACCAGGATCACCTGTATCACTGTTGGAAATGAGGTCATTTCAGGCAATGACACTGTTTTGAAAACCAACTTGCTCCCTGCTATGAAATCAGTGTACCAAGCTCTCGTCACCCTTGGATTGGATAAGCAAGTAAATCTTACCACTGCACATTCCCTTGATATCTTAGGGAACTCCTACCCTCCTTCTTCTGGCTCTTTTCACCCAGATTATGCACAGTATATTCAACCCCTTTTAAGCTTCCATGCCATGACAAAGACCCCATTTCTCATAAATGCTTATCCTTACTTTGCCTACAAATCTGACCCTGGCTCAGTCTCATTGGATTATGTACTATTCCGTCCTAATTCAGGGTTCACTGACTCAAATACCAATCTGAAGTATGACAATATGCTTTATGCTATGATCGATTCAGTTTATGCTTCGATTCAAGCTATGGGGCATACAGATATCGATGTAAGGATTTCTGAAACTGGTTGGCCATCGAAAGGGGATCCTGATGAGGTAGGAGCTACCCCTGAGAATGCTGCAATATATAATGGCAATTTGTTGCAAAGGATAGAAATGAATCAAGGAACCCCCATGAGGCCATCTACACCCATTGACATCTATGTGTTTGCATTGTTCAATGAGAATTTAAAGCCAGGGCCAGCATCAGAGAGAAACTATGGCTTGTTTTACCCCGATGGAACACCAGTCTATAATATCGGATTGCATGGATATCTTCCAATGATGATATCATCTTCTAGTTTGTTGGTAAGAAAACTTGATCTTTTTGTTTCATTTACTACCATATTTTCTCTTTTTATTATGATATTTCAGTTATAAGTGCATGTAGCTTTCATTCTCAGTTCTTTTTTCCATTTGTCCTTCTCCTTAATTTCTTACCGTCGCTTGCAAAGAATCTGAGTGGTCCACTTTGAACAATTTTGTAATATTATATCCTTCTCCTTCTGATTATTACGCCGATACTTGTATGAAAGGGGATAAGACTGACTTTTTCCCTTTCATTTTCCTACAAGCAAAGGGATCAGCCAAATTCTTATCTCCGGATCAATTGACTGAAGATATTTGCGTTAAATAGACATCTCCATCGTACTGCAAATACATTACTATACCTATTTTACTTTTCTTGCAGGTTGTCCCTTGGTTGCACTTGTACTTTTTTGCCGTAGCTTCGCTTTTCTTATTTTGACAACCAGAGATGTACTCCTGAACTAGAAGTAGGAAGAGGATGGAGAACAACCGATGAGCGAAGGCATCTTCAACCTACAATGTAATACTCAAGTGTCATCCATCCATCAACCTTGAGCACTGGCAATGAGGTATTTGAGCGCGTACCTGTCATTTCTTTGACTTAATGTGTAGATTCTTAATTTATTGATAGCTTTAGAAAGAACAATTGGAAAGTATTAGATTGAGTTGGCTACTAAATGCTAGCACAAGTGCAATTAGGTCATGGGTCAGTTTGCAAGACCATGGGCCATCCTTTTCGACTGTCCCCATCATGCATGCTTTCTTTCTCCAAGGGAAAGATAATGTGTAAAAGATGCTATATTCTCTTTTTGCCATCACAAACCTCATCCTGTCTTGTAGTTACTCTGAGTGGTCTTCATAGCTTCTTTTTGTTGTTGGCTTTTCTTTTCCTCCTTTTCAATTTCTTGATGCTTCCAAAAAGTTCCAGTTCCACTCCTAAAAAAAAATAATAAATAATAAATAATAAATAAAATAAAAAGTTTCCATACCACTTTGACAATTGAGTAATCTATGGCACATGTTGAACCTGTTCATAATCATATTAAAAGTTCACTCTTCTGGAATTGCGCCTTAAACATCCATGTTCCTTTTGTGCAGGTTCATGAATATACATAACTAACGTGGAGGCATACACCGATCATAATTAGCGATGTGCCCCGATGCATGCTTGAGATTTCTATGTTCTTCAAGAAATCGGGCACAGAGTAAATATACTAACAAATTTTGAATTACAGATTCTTGATTAGGTTCGGAATAAACTCAGCCGGCATCACGTACATTACGTGTAAAGCTACAATATCGACGGTTGGAGCTTGAGCA